TCAGGTGGAAGTGCATAAGGACAAAAGAAAAAAAAAACACCTGAAACCCGAAGATGTATTAAGAGAGGGATGTGGAAAGACAGAAAGGAGGAAGGCCTGAATTAAGGGAGTAGCAATAGAACGAAAACAAGTAGATAGATAGATACAAAGAAGAAAAATTCAGCCTGACTTCATGATTAGAAAAGGGAGAGTGAGGATGAATCTAAGCCTTCACTGACCAGGCCCAAACCAACAGCTGCACATTTTAATGATTCTGTTACTTTATTAAAATCTTAAAGCAGAAAGGTTTAGCATTAAATCATCCTCTTCTCAACAACAGCACAGCACCTGACTTTCTCCTCTTTTAAAAATGTAACTATATAACTTAAAATTACTGTCACCTGGCAACTCCACACTAATTGTTTAATATGCAGACAGTAAAGAGGGCTATAAAGCCACACACAGACCATCACTGAGCATGGACAGAGAAGCTACAGAGGATGTGAAATTTAGCAAGCATTCTTATATTTAGCACCCTAAATTTAAGGAAAATCTAAACGCCCTTTAAACGGATTAGAATCATTTTATCACTTAGAAGGGGCCTGCAGACAACTCTTTTGAGATTCAAAAAAAGTAAAACAACTCATAACTTCAAAGTTAAATCAATTATGTTTTTTCTCTTCTGCCTGTAAATGTAAATTAAAGAACCCATTATCTTTATAGTCTAAGTCAAAGATCTACAAAATTTACATTTTGAAAAAATGTACTATAATGTACAAACATACTATAACAATGAAAAAATGTACTGAAAAAACTTACTATAACTTCAACCTTATTACCACTGTAAGGTAAAAACAACATAAAGCCAAGCCCTTCCAGTAACTAAATGCTCTTGGAAAGTGTCCAAAGCAATGTTAGTAAATTTCCAATTCATTTCATCTAAGGTCAACAAAAACAAGTTATCTAAAACACTGGATTATATTTAAATAGGCTCTAACTAAAAGTTTTACATGACTGAATCACTCAGCAAAAAATCTTTGTACTTTTTACTTAGGATGGTATCTAAGACCAGTAAGTAACAGGATTGGGGGGGGGGGGGGGGGTTGCTGCATCTAGAAATTTAATCACATATTACTTAATATTATCTTGAGAAAATTTTCAATACCACTAGCTTTCTTTTGGAGAGAAGCAGACTTCGGCAGAATCTGCAAAAATCATCATTTGCAGTAATACTAAAAATCTCCATAACTTCTATAATGTGGACAAACATGTGGTGGTGCAAACTCTGATTCCAAGCTTGAGTTTTTTAAAGCTTGTTACTTGTGGTTCAGATTTCTTTTTTATGGGTTGTATGTCTGATAGGTATACACTAATTTCATACAAAAACAAACATAAAGGTGCTTTATATATGTGAATGAACATATATGACACTTCAGACAAGCTGTGATTTATATACATGAATGTACATATAAGACACTTCAGACAAGCTGTGATTTCCACTCAAAGAGCTTTTTATAAAGTTCTAGTAAATTGACAAGTAAAAGCCAACAGTTAAAAGAATAATCTAGCGAAACAGCAAAGGGAGCTATAAAATTTAACCTGGAAGTAAAAAAAAAACCTAAATAAAGCAGAAACACAAAAGGAAAAACTCCAGCACACTTTCACTGAGCTTGTTAAAGTTTATCTATAAACATTAACCTTTTTTAAAAGTTGAGGAGTATACCAATTTTCACTTGTGAAAAGTGACATCCTAGGATAAATTTTTAGTTCCTAAGAAAAATAAGTCAAGTTTAAAGATCTGCATACAAAAATACCAGAAAAACTGCAAAAGAATAGAAAAAGCAAACATGATTTTACAGGAAACATGGAACCCACCTGAAACATTAAAAGTGGGATGGACTCACTAAAATGAACAAAAGATCCAAAATGAACAAATTAAGCATAAATGCTCCCAGTGTGTTTAACATCTTCAGGAACAAGCAATGCCATCCAATCAATACTTGCTACAAAAACTGCCATAAACTGATCACTTCTTTTTTTTTCAAACCATGAAACAAGGAAAGGTTTGTTGCAATATATTTGTAACTTACCAATACTGAGCTGTTAAGTTTCTATTAGATGCTTGAACTAAGGATCTGTGCTAGGAAGACTGAAATCTATTCAGACAGCAGTGAAAAATGAAGCCTCACTAAAGACGTTCAAGATAAAGCTGACCCCTAAAGGCTCCTTGGTGCACATTTGCAACCACAGTATTCACGGCACGCAGTACACTAAACTAGCAACAGATTGGTTAAAAACAGTTTGAATTTTCAACTTCTCATTACACAGGCAACATTTTTAGAAGCAATCACATTAAATAAATGTGTCCTTCACAGTTACCGGATGAAATTTTAAGCTGGACAGGCACCAATGCCCTGATTTTCTACTTTTTTCGTAAACCATATGACTTCCACATGCTGAGACTGTTTTATGCTTTAACCTTCGGTAAAGGCTTTACATCATTTTAATGCTCAGTGCCTAAAATGCAACAGAATCATCCCATCGAATGCAAGGAATATATTTGGCTTCAACCAAACCACTAGTCAGAGAAAGTTTAATGAATGCTTTTCTCAGTAACTTTGCATTTCCATAGAATAAAACAAAATCTGAGGTGAGGGTAGGGGGAAGAGAATATATTCTTATATTTTAAAGTTTTCCAACTCTAAACAAACATTTTAGTTTTTTATTTATAAAACAATCATTGAACATTTAAAGACACTGTCTAGTAGAAATATATTTCCGCAGAAAAGCACTGCTACACGCAGTTATATAGGATATTTCTCCAGTTTTTGCAAAGGCAATATTTCAGGCTAAAATAAAGATTAAAACAAATAATTCTGGAAATTCTAGCCAATAACAAACTAAAAACTCAGCTTTGTATCAACATACTGTATATCCTAAGTTTGAGATTTAGAAAAAACACAACCTTTTTTTTTTCTATTCGGGTCAATCTAAATAAATATGCTACCTCATACTTATAAGTCAGTTTATCTGTGTAAATGACCAACCACAGAATTTTCAAACCATAGATTATAAAACATACCATATACATACGATGTAACTTCCAGTTTTTATAGTAACTAAAGTCCTTTACTGATAGGTTCAAGAATTGATAAGCCAAATATGTAAATATATTAAATTCTCAGCAGTCGAAAAGACAAATTATGCCAATTTCTTTATTTAAAAGTCCATTATACTAAAAATGTGACAAAACAATGGTTACTGAAAAATTTACATTTCCGGGTGAAATTAGTACAAATTATATTATCTTAATTCTTCTGTTGTAATGCTTTTAAATATTAAAGACTGTGAGAAACAAGGGATGTTGCAATCCTCTTCCCTTTGTAACTCCAATTGAAACTCGGGAGGAAAAAAATCAGAATTCAAATTTCCCAACCTTGACTTACACACTTAATTCAACTAGATCTAACTCAGCTGTGCAATTTTAAAATAAGTTTAACGCAAAGCACTACAATCTTGATGTGATAATTACCTGCGGAATAAATGCAAATTAAAAACAAATGCAGGTCCTCTTCACCGAAAGATGCATCTTACAGCAAAACCACTCAAAGCACAACCCCATAGAACCAACTAAAGAAACGGGCAGCATGTCCATCAAAGAGAAACGTACCATGCCAAAACAGAAACGAAGCACTGAAGGGAGGGGGGGAAGGCAGGCAGGCAGGCAGGCAGAGAGAGACGGCAGAGGTTTCCACACCTGCAGGATCCCACAGAAATGAACCAGTCACATCACTCTACCCTACATGCTACGTAAGATTTTTAAAGCTTCGGGGTAAATAAAAACGGTAATCACTCTATACCATCATTCAACTTTACACAGTATAGTATTTGTAATGCCAACTGCATTCTCCCCTTCACTCACCCAACGTTTCCTCTCGCTTCCATACCAGCTTTCAGCCAAATGCGAGACAGAACAGGGTGGGGTAGAAGAAAAATACAAGCTGCGCCTTTTAGCGACTCCCCACGCACCCCCCAACAATTTCCAACAGTTTTTCCTACTACGAAAATAAGTCACCCAACCACAGGATACACAACAGTCATTCCGTGTCTTCAGCAGACACACAGGGTCGCGTACACAAGTGGGCACTCCCGACCCCCACCCCTCCGCCCCCGAATCTTAAGTAATGTTTCATCTATGGAAGGCGAAGACGACCAACGAGACCTACTGTTTCGGGGTGAGGATGGGTGGAGGACTCCTTTCCAAGTAGCCCCAATAGTGTAACCAAAACACGGTTCCGGAATAAAATATTAAGAACACTTTTCCTTTCCCACCTAGCTACCGACTTGAGGATGCAAAAAGCCATCTCCACCGCACCTCATCTCTCCGAGGCGCCTGCCCTGAGTATGGGGTGGAGGTGGGTCCCGGGAGACGGGGAGGAGGAGTGTGAGCCGCCGATGGGACACGAACGAGTTGCTCCCCGCGGCCACTCCGCGCTGCCCCGCTAGCCCAGAGGTCCCGGAGCCGCACCTCGCGCACGCCTCTCCGCCCAGGCCCAGCTGAAAGCTCCGACTCCGGCTCTCGAACTTCCTCTCCAGAGACATTTATTCAAGGCTAACCCATCGCCCGAGCGCACGTCACCCAGTTTCAAACACAGCTCTGCACCCCAAACAAACCCACGCACCTCAAATTCCCCTCACAGTTTCCCAAACTCCAAACTGGAGACCCCACCTCCAGGATTCAAACCTTCCGCCCACTGGGGAGGCAACCAGGGGAAAAGAGTTGGGAGCACCCGACGCCTTTCGATTACCGCCCCCACAAACTGCCCCACCCCAGACCCTGCGTTCGGGTCACCCCCTTGAAACCCCCCGCTTCCTTCCTCCTCTCAGTTGGGCCGCTTAAGAGACCCATCCCCAGCCCACTCACTAACTCGCCCCAACCCCCCCCCCAAAAAAAAAAGTGAAGAGAAAGAAGTGAGGAAAGAGACTGAAGAGACTTGAGGCTTCCAAACCACTCGACTCACCTCAGAAAGCTTGCTGAGTTCTCTCCGCCCGGCACGGCCCCCTCCCCAACGTCCCGGTGCGAAGGGCTGAGGTCTGAGGTAGGGAGGAGGGGAAAGCGGGAGGGGGAGGGGTGTCTTCCGCGTGGGGCGCCCGTCGGGAGGGGTCTGGGGAGGGGTTGAGGCCGGCGCAGGAAGAGGAGAAGGGGGAGGGGAGGCCCCTATCTCCCAGTCTCCCCCTGAAAAACCTCCCTTGTCTCAATCACATCAGACTGACTGTCTTTGTCTGGCTGACAACCGCCATATTGATATCAACAGCCCCGCTCCCACCTGCTGCCACCGGGCGGCCCTGGGAGTTGTAGTTTTTGTCTCCCTTGAGTAAAGGTGCGGGACTCTGCGTCCGGAGGCCCCAGGGAACTACAGCTCCCGGCAAGTACCGCGCCCTTGAGCCTTCCCACAGGGAGGAGGGGAAAGGGGCGCCAGAGCCGTAGGGACTACACATCCCAGAATACCATGGATTCTGGGCCCAGATGAGGGACATGATATCATGCTGGGGTGAAGAGGGAGGATGAATTGGCGGCGCGGATGAATTTGAGCTGACGGAAGGAGGCGTTCTAAGAGGAAAGAGAGGAAAAGGAAAGATGACCACGGTTCCCATGATTCACGGAGAGATGACTACATTTCCCATGATGCGCCGGGAAAGGGGCGTAGGAAAGAAAGACTGCATGTCCCGCCATGCTCTCGGCGGGCCCGTGGCGGAGATTGAACCGGAAGACGCTTTCTGGGTTTGAGAAGTCGAGGAACTGCTACTGACCAGCCAAAAGTCCAGCATGAAACTGGTGAGTCTACTCTCTTAGATCGGAGGGCATATCCTTTTGGAATTCGTCGTTTCCATTTTGGGAAGGGAACCGTCGCGGACTAGGGTTGGCAGGGAACTAGAAGGTGGGGGTGAAGCCAGGAAAGGTGATGTTTGTTGTTGAGTTTGAATTCCAACTCAGACCCTTCACAACTGCTAGATGATGTAATTCATCCCTTGGCGCGGCCCTTTGGTTAGATAGGAGATTGAATCTTGTCACCTTTCTTCACAAACGAACCAAGGTTGGGCTTTATGAACCAGGTTTGATTTGTTTCTCGGCTGCCACGTGAGTGTAATAGTTGGTACACTTCTTTCTACGGGATTGACACTTGATTAAGCGTTCCTTTTTACAGTTGTTGAGAAGGTTTGGTAACATGAACAGAGTTTAGAAAATTCTAGGCGGTTCTTACTCTCTTATTTAATTCTCTGTTATAGACTGCTAACTGCCCTTGATCATTCAAAGGAGATCAAAGTCAGAGTGTGATCTCTGATGGTTTGAGTCTTAAATTCTGTATAAGATGGGCTGAGTGGAACTGTTACATGGCGTTACAGTCTAGAGCTGTAGGGACTGCGTGAGCTAAGGTCATGTGGAGCATGCCAGAATACCTGGAAAAGTTTTGCAGTACACAACTCAGACGCTTGGCTTATAGGAAAGCTGCTCAGGCTTTTGTTTTGAGCCATTTTATTCTCAGTGTGCACAGATTTAACTAATTTACTCCAACTAATTAATTGGAATTAGTAATAGCATAATTTGAGTAGAGAAGGTGTGAGATGCTGTTTCTCAGGCTTTAAAAGTCATGTTCCTGCAGCCAGGCTTTACTTTCTGAAGTTTTTGAGGAAAAACAAAAGGTTTCTCTTAATTATTTGAGCATGCTTTTTTGCAGAGTCCGTATGTAAGTCCCTACACACGGTACAGGCATACATACCATGCACAGTGTCAGCTGTTCTTTGAGACGTCAGAGAACATAAGAAAAGTGGATTCAGTTCCAAAACTATCTCTATCTAAAGCTGTTTCTGTTAGGAGAAGGGCACACAGTTCAGTAAACCTTGAGAGTATCAATTTGCTTTTGGGTCAGTTTTCCAAACATTTCAAAATGCAGAATTGAAAGTCACCACCCTTGTCTTAAAGAAGCATGCAATCTAATGAAGAAGATACAAAGTAATGAAAAAGTTATAGTTCACCTGCATCTGGGTGAACAGAGTGGTCATGTTCAGGGTTTGGGGATTGAGAGGATACTGGGGGTGTGTGGGGAGTCAGATACAGCTCCTTTGGAAAGGTAGTTCTTGAACTGATAAGAAGGTCAAGTAGGCTCCGGCCTTCCTTGAAGAGGGTTCAGCTGATAGAAGCCAAAGAGTTTGGCACCTAAGTGGTAGAAACACAGACCATGTTTCGTCAATAAAAGATAAATCATGGTTCATGTGTGTGGTGTGAAGGCAGGCAAGTGGGAAGCAGGTTTCTTTTCCTATAACAACTCATTTGCTGAGGGTATCAGAGTTAGGTTTTAATTTACATATACTTTGGCTTGCATATAAAATTCTCCTGCTTACTTTATTTAGAGATGTGAAAACATGAGAAAAGTAGAAACTTTTTTTCCCTTTAAGAACCATAAAATGCCTCAGAGGAAGAGAAATTATTCTTTCTATACTCCCTTTCTCTTTATTGTTCATCCACCTAATAACTAAAACTCATTTGGTACTTGATGATTTATAATGCAGGAGTATCTTTCAACACAGCTAAGTGGTTTCAGAAACATTGACAGCAAGTTGGACTTCTTTTTTGTCACGCTTCCCATACAGTTGGGCTTTCCAGGTGGTGCTAGTAATGAAGAATCCGCCTACCAGTGCAGGCAACTCTAGAGATACGGGTTCGATGCCTGGGTCAGGAAGATCCCCTGGAGTAGGAAATGGCAGCCCACTCCAGTATTCTTGCCTGGAAAATTCCATGGGCAGAGGAGCCTGGTGGGCTACAGTCCATGAGATTGCAAAGATTTGGACACTACTGAGAGTGACTAACACTTTCATTTTTTCTTTGTGATATCAGGCAACTTTATTTGAGGAAAATTCATCTTCAGTTAATCAGGACAATTTTGAAAAGAACAGGAAAATTAGAAACATATCCTCTAAATTAGCACATTTTAGAGCCTATTCTCCTTTTAGTATCGATTGAGCCTAATTGGGTATACCCTGACGGCCAAATTCAGCAAAGCATAGAAAATTGAACTCACCAGGGTCTTTAACAAAAGACTTTGGGAGCCACCCCGCCCCCTGCAAGAAAAACCAAATTCATCGACAGAAATCAAGTTTGAAACATCATGGCTAGGAATTTAGTCATTCAAATAGATGAATGTTAAAGTGAATAAAATAACTAGCGGTTCAAAAACGCATCATTTGTCATACTTCCTGTAGATAGTTCCAGAGCTGGAGAGAATCTTCTAGTTTATTCAGTCAACAAGGATGACTGAAACCACAGTATACCCGTGGCATTCAAAGTTTTAATACTTTCCATTTTAACTATTGAATTTGACCCCAAGGATTGATCACATGGAATTATTTGTAATTTTGCTGAGACGAAAGTTTGAATGTGATTTTAAGGTGAATAATAATCCTTAGTGAAATTAGCCTGATTGCCTCAGAATCCAGGACTTTCTGCAGTTCTGTTGCTCTCTTGTTAAAGATCTGAAAGAAAGGTCACTTAAACGCTCGTTCTGTGCTGTATTCTGAATTTGATGGAGAAAATTATATGCTGTAGTTGTATTTATGAATTTAAAACCTCAGGAAGGCCATGAGTTATTTTCTCCAGTGGTCTGGGCTCCTTTGTACAAAATGCTGTTTCATTACTACTGGCTTGGGGTGGGGACGGGGAGGCACAAACTTGTAACTCACCATTTTTCTTAGGAAAGCAGATGGAGCAAAGAAATGGATTCATGGGCCACTTCCAGCTGAGGACAGGTAAAGCACCAAGTGGAATTGTAGAGTTGAAAGCAAATACTGACTTGAAAAGGGCAAATCCTGCTTCAAGGTCAATTTAAGAAACATTAGAAAGGGATGTGCTTAATCCTTACCTTGGATCTGAGAGCAGTGGATTCTTCCTGCAGTTTTAAGACTTGCAGAATCCTTTTGGCTTCTCAAACTTTGGATCAGGAACAGAAAATGGCTTGCTGTAAATAACATAATTTTACCAGGACTTAATTCACCTCTTTCAGTACAATTGTTAAAATGTCAACCTGGTTTCACTAGCTCTGTGTTTCTCTTCGCTGGCTGATTAGAGCGCCCTCGTGTGTCTCTATGGTGTAATGTCATTTCAAGCTTCAGAAAGGCCCTTTCTATCACCACCTCAGTGTGATACAGTTTTTTCCCTGTAGAATGTTTTCCTCAAGCTCTGAAAACTGACATAAGGCCCAACCACTGTTCAGTTGTGCTCGGATTAAACTGGATATTTTACTCTTGGGCATTTCTAAGTCCTGGCGGTGACTGAAGATTAAACCTTTTATACTTAAGGCAAACAATATATATACACACCAAGGTGAGTAACAAGAGGAAAATGTTATATTTGTATATATGTAATAGGCTTCCGTGGTGGCTCAGACAGTGAAGAACCCACCTGCCAATCCAGGAGACCCGGTTCAATCCCTGGGTCAGGAAGATCCCCTGGAGAAAGAAATGGCAACCCCCTCCAGTATTCTTGCCTGGAGAATCCCATGGACAGAGGAGCCTGGTGGACTGCAGCCCGTGGGGTCACAAAGAGTTTGACATGACCGAGCACACACACACAATCTGACATACAATACAAGCATGACAGCATTGCTGCTGCTCTTAACTGCAGTAACACGTTTGTTTTGTAACTGGCTTGCCCTGAGTACTCAGATCCCTCTGCCATTTGCTCTGTCAGCAAAGTGTACTTTGAAGGTCTAGGGCCCAGAGTGCAGCGTGGCCGTGGAACTAGCATTCCAAATGGAAAGTTCGCTCCTGGCTTACTCAGCACCAGCAGAGGTCCAGGCAGAAAGTGCCCTTCAGTCATCATCGCTCATTTATTCACTCACCAGATCTTCCTGAACATCTGCCTTCTCTGTGCTAGGCATTGCTTAAGGTAATGGATATATTCCAGTGGAGAAACAGATTTACCCCCTGCCTTTACGGGAAATAAAGTCTAGCAGGCTCACTGTGCAGTTCGACAGTATTGCAGTGAGCTTTCTGATGGAGAGATGTCACTGGGCGCTGGCTTCAGTAGACTTTGTTTTTTACTACTTATGTACTTGTTTGGGTGTGTTGGGTCTTGGTTGTGGCACACAGGACCTTCTTGCGTCATGCTGGATCCTTGATTGCGGTACACGGACTCCCTAGTTGCAGCGTTTGGGCTCCAGGGTGTAGTTGCAGCACTTGGCTTAGTTGCCCCTGGGCAGATGGGGTCTTGGTTCCCTGACCGGGGTTCAACCTGTGTCCTCTGCTTTGCAGAGACTGCTT